AGGTGCCTGTCACAACGCCCAGCTATTTTTTTGTTGCAGTTGTTTAGCTGGCCCCGGGCTGGGTTTGAACCCACCACCCTCGGTGTATATGGCTGGCGCGGTAACCACTGTACTACGGGCATTGAGCGCCTAATCAAGCCTTTGAACCTGACTTCTAGTGTACACGAAATATACAGGGGAAGCAGCTAAATGACACTTCAAGGGAACAGTTAGAAAAGGCTGGTGGGTTCGAGCCCAGCTTCGGCCAGCTAAACAACAATGACAACTGCAACAAGAAAATAGTGGGCATTCTGGCAGGCGCCCTATAGTCCCAGCTACTTGGGAGGCTGAGGCAAGGGAATTGCTTAAGCCCAAGATTTTCAGATGGCTGTGAGCTGTGACACCACAACACCCTACCAAGAGTGACATAGTGAAACTCTTGTCTCCTTAAAAAAAAAAAAAAAAAAGGCATTGATATAGGGAAGGAGAGCTCCTAGAATTAAAGAACTAGGAGACAACTAAATGCTAAATGCTACGTTTGAATCTGGATTGGATCCCAATTTGAGCAAATGAGCTTAAAAGACATTTGGGATGAATGGGGAAATTTGTTATGTGGCAATGTTAATTCACGTCGATTGGTAACAGACCAGTGGTTATTTAGCTAGGAGAATATCTTCATTCTTGGAGATGTATACTGAAGTATATGTGGAGAGCCTCATGATGCCTACCACTTCCAAATTGTTCAGGAAAAAAAACGCATGCAAGTACACTCCTATATACAGTATACTGACAAATCAAACATGACTACTGTTGAAGATTATTGGATCCAGGTGGTGGGGAATATAGGAAATCATTACACTATTCATTTTTCTTTTTTTTGAGATACATTCTCAAGCTGTCACCCTGGGTAGAGTGCCGTAGCATCACAGCTCACAGCAACCTCCAACTCTTGGGCTCAAGCAATCCTCTTGCCTCAGTTATTCTATTTTTAGTAGAGACAGGGTCTCACTTTTGCTCAGGCTGCTCTCCAACTCATGAGCTCAAGCAATCCACCCTCCTTGGCCTCCCAGAGTGCTAGGATTATAGGTGTAAGCCACCGCACCTGGCCCATTATACTATTTTCTACAAGATTTGAACTGAGCTGGGCTGGGCCTGGTGGCTCACACCTGTAATCCAGCACTTTAAGAGGTCAAGATGGGAGGATAGCTTGAGCCCAGGAGTTCAAGGTTACAGTGAGCTCTGATCATACTAATGCACTCAAGCATGGATGACAGAGAGACACCCTGTCTACAAAACAATAAAATAAAATTTAAAATAAAACTAAGAGGGCCGGGTGTGTTGACTCATGCCTGTAACCTCAGTGCTCACTCTGGGAGGCTGAGGCAGGTGGATAGATTGGGCTCAGGAGTTTAAGACCAATCTGAGCAATAGTAAGACCCCATCTCTACTAAAAAAAAAAAAAAATAGAACAATTAGTCAGGCATCGTGGCAGGTACCTGTAGTCCCAGCTACTCCAGAGGCTGAGGCAGGAGGATCACTTGAGCCCAGGAGTTTGAGGGTGCTGTCAGCTATGAAGCCATAGCACTCTACTCAGGGTGACAGAGTGAGATGATGTCTCTAAATAAATATAAATAAATAATAAATAAATAAGAAAGATCTGATCTTAACCCTCTTCTCACACCTTCACTACCCAGTCACCGTCTTCTGTGGTCTCTTGAGCAATGAAGCCATGGCCCCGACTCAGGGCTTCTGCACTTGCTATTTCCTCTATCTGTTACCCATACTCTTCCCCCAAACATCTCATGACCTACTCAAATACTTGCTCAAATTTACTCACTCATGAGATCTTCCCTGGCTACCTTGTCTAAAACTGCAGCCCCTCTCAGCACTACCTATCTTTCCTGCTTTTTCCTTCTTAATGCCAGTGCTGTCCTGCCTGCGTAGGCCCACCTGGAAAACCTCTCTAGTCAAACAAGTCGGGTATATTGACTCACTGAGATGAAGAAGACCAACCAGTATGGGGAACTGTAGAAGTCTCAGTAAAAGGGCTTGTGTCAGATGACTTGGGTGAAAGTTTAAGGGAGTAGGACTTGGCTCTGAATTAGATGCTGCCAGGAAATAATCTTATGAGTGGGTATCTCAACAATTCTTATCCAGAAGGTGAGAAGCCCAAAATAAGGCTAAAGATATGGGTAAGGAATCAGCAGTCACTCGAATTAGCCAGGTTAGTCTAGTGGTATGGATGATGTTCAGGTCTTATATGTTCTTTTGTCTTGTGCCATCATGGCCACAGAGTGTCTGTATCTAGTGTTGGTGTTCTAATGTCACATACAATAGGAAAGCACAGGCCTGGCAGTGGGAGCTCAGACCTCAGAGAGGCATTTGCGCTTCTCACTAACATGCGGGCTGTTGGCTGCTGCACATATTCTATGCTGGGTCCTTTTCCCACCAGAACCCCAGCCCCAGAAAGGTACTTCTTTTCCTTTATCTTACACTGTGCTCCTGACAGAGCTGGCCTGGCCTGGGACCAGTGGCCAAACGTAATTCTTGGAGCTTCTTGGAGCTTTTACAAGCCTGCTTGAGGTTGCTCTTGCTGCTCACCCGACTTTAGAATCTGAGGCTTTCAGTGCTGCACAGAAACTCTGTCCTGGGGGTGCCCAGGTGGGCCCATTTTCTCCAGGGAGGACTCATCCCAGGGTGTGGGTGAGGGGGGCAGGAATGGGAGCTCATGCCATGCTGTACCGGAGCTGTAGGAGGGCAGGTGATGAGAGCCTGATCTCTGTGTCCTGCAGGCCTTGAGCAATCACACCCCTGACTCTGAGAAGTCTCTCTTTCCAGAGGCCTTGACATTACCTCCAGCAGGCTTTGTGACTTTGGCCAGCTTCTCTTTCCCTTGGTGTCTCAGTTTGTCTATATCGCCACATGACCCTAAGGACCCTGTCACATTCCAAAGAACTAGCACCTGCTCATGCTGAAGATGAGCATGTGTGTGTCTGCTCCATGAGGACAGTGCTAGCTTCCTGGTCCACCACCAGGCAGACACTAGACCCAACACCTCCTACCCTTGAGCCCAGTGTTCAAGGGAGACAGGCAGGGCCACCAGCTTGGGAGGCAATGCAGTTAAGGCATGGGAGCCACCGATTCACTCAACAAGTATTTTGGGAAAACCTGCTATGGACAGTTCTGTTTTGGGTGCTAGGAATAGACCAGTAAATAAAACCGAGAACAAGCATTCCCTGCCATCTTGAGCATCCATTCTAGTGAACGATAAACAGAAACGCTTTTCTCAGTGGAAAAAATTAAGTGGGCTAGTCAGGGCTTAAACCAAGGTGGAAGAATTGCGATTTTAATTAGGGTGGTCATTTTGGGCTTACAAAAATGGTGACATTTGAGGGAGCAACGATACCGGGGAAGAACCTTGGGGTAGAGGCCCCAGGGGGATCGTGGAGGCCAGTGGGAGGGAAGAAGAGGGAGAGAGGGCTTTCCTTCATGTAGGATGGAGCCATGTCAAGTTTCAGGGGTGACCATGGGGTAATTGTGCTTTCTGGCCTGTGCCTCAGGAGGGGAGAATGGCAGACAGGGAGGCCAGGGCAAAGTGGGTGGTGGAGCAGGAGCTGTTTCAGACACGGTTCCTATGAAACACACAAGGACATCAGATGCTGCAATGGCTCTAGGAGCCTGAGCCCAGGAAAGAAGACTGAGTGGACACACACAGCAGTGGGCACCCCAGGACATAGACGGAGATTAATGTCATACAGGATGGAGAGCCAGCAAAGGAGCGGACAGGGCAGCAACTGAGCCAGAATATCCCACATGAAAGAAAATAACCCTCAGCACAGGTTTGGAGCAGAAGCAGAGCCTGTCCAGAGAGAAAAGAAGGGGTGGAAAGTCATTTGTGCAAATGGTACCCCTTCAGGGCCACCAGCTCAGGCAAAGGCTGGGAGGCCTGCATGGGATGTCCTGGGCTGGGGAGGGGACCCTGCTCAACAAGGCTCCTGTGGGTCTACCACAGAAAGAGGGGTGCTGTGGACCTAAAGAGGCAGGGGAGGAGTCCTTATCTCCTGCCCTCAGGCCTCCTGGGGATCACTGCCCCTCTCAACCACAGACCCTGCAGACCCCTCCTTGAACCCCCTGCCTAGACTTCCAGGGGTTCAAGGTCCCCCTGCTTGGGAAGAGGGAGTCCCAGGGGGTCCAGCGGACAATACAATCCAGACTGACTTACTAGGGTTGCTGTCTTGGCGCACTGGTCCCCCTGTCCCACCTCCCTAGGTCTGGAGACCCTCCAGTCCCCGCCTCTGCTGCCACTCTGGCTGGAGACCACTACTGGGAGGAGTTTCTAAGATAAGGGCCTATAGTCTACCATGGTTTCCTTCCCCTCTATGGCCTGTGGTCTAAAAGCTACCCCCAGGATCTGTTGTGCTCAGACACAGATATGGAAATAGTCTCTGCTAAACCTTAAACTTACTCCAGGTCAGGAAGGGCACCTGCAGTGGACCTCAAACAGCCAATTTTGCAAGTATCAGATGGCATAATTGTCTTGAAAAGGAATTTATTGCCTTGAAAAGTCAATTCCTTTGACTCAGTAATTCTTCTAGAAATCTATCCTAAGGAAGCTTCTGACCCTGAAGACCTAACCAACTACATGGCCATGTAGGAGCTCCATGAGAAGAGTCAGTGTATGAAGCTGCATTATCAGGGTAATTCAGCTAAAACACAGAAAACAAAACCAAAAGTTAGTGATGAGGTGTAAGTGATTTTTGTTCTTTTCCATGGACTTCCTCAAACATTCTGGAAGAAGCTCAAACATTCTGGAAGAATTGCAATTTTATTTTATTTTATTTTATTTTTTGAGACAGAGCCTCAAGCTGTCCCCCTGGGTAGGGTGCCATGGCATCACAGCTCACAGCGACCTCCAACTCCTGGGCTCAAGCGAGTCTCCTGCCTCAGCCTCCCAAGTAGCTGGGACCACAGGCGCCCGCCACAACACCTGGCTATTTTTTTTTTTTTTGGTTGCAGCCTTCATTGTTGTTTGGCAGGCCCTGGCTGGATTCGAACCCACCACCTTAGGTGTATGTGGCTGGCGCCTTAGCCACTTGAGCCACAGGTACCGAGCCAAGAATTGCAATTTTAAACAGGGGGGTGATAGTGGGCTTACAAAAATGTTTTGTTTTTCTGAATAGAAACAGAAGCTTTTAGGAAGACATTGAGAAGACAGTGCTAACTAGTCCTCTTTGGAGCTGGCAGCATCAGCTTCTGGGTGGAGAATAATTCACAACACCACACGGGGTACACATATTTTTTTTACCTGTATACATAATATAGCATATTCAAGAATTCTAGGAAATGGGTAAGGGTTATCTCTGGAGGTGTAGAGGTGGGAAGGAATTTTTGTTTTTGTTCTTTGAGACAGAGTCTCACTTTGTTGCCCTTGGTAGAATGCTGTGGCATCATAGCTCACAGCAACCTCGAACCCTTGGGGTCAAGTCATTCTCTTGCCTCAGCCTCCCAAGTAGCTGGGACTATAGGCGCCTGCCACAACACCTGGCTATTTTTAGAGATGGAGTCTCACTCTTGCTCAGGCTGGTCTCCAACAATCAATTCACCCATCTTGGCCTCTGGAGTGCTGGGATTACAGGCCACTGTGCTCAGCTAGGAATTTCTGACTGTTATGGTACTTACATCTTTTACAGGTTTGGTGTTAGAGTTAACCATGAGCCAGGAACAGGGGGTAATTGCTATAATCCCAGCACTTTGGGAGGCTGAAGCAGGAGGATTGCGTGAGGCCAGGAGTTTGAGACAATTTATAATAAGTTTAATTTTTAAATTAAAATTTAAAAAATTTAGGCTGCACCTATGGCTGAAAAGGATAGGGCACCTGCCCCATATGCCGGAGGTGGTGGGTTCAAACCCAGCCCCAGCCAAAAAAAAAAAAAAAAATTTAAACACATGTACAAAATACATATTGAAGAAAATGAAGAGGTTGATCCAAAGGTAGTGAATTATTTCAATTGATTGTTCACAGTCAGTTATAGATCCTCTTCTACTCTGTCCATCTTCTCACTATTGCACTTGAGTACTATTTTAAAAAAGAAGAAATGGCTCGGCGCCTGTGGCTCAAGCACCTAAGGCACCAGCCACATACACCTGAGCTGGCAGGTTCGAATCCAGCCTGGGCCCGCCAAAAAACAATGACAGTTGCAACCAAAAAATAGCGGGGTGTTGTGGCAGGTGCCTGTAGTCTCAGCTATTTGGGAGGCTGAGGCAAGAAACTCGCTTGAGCCCAGGAGTTGGAGGTTGCTGTGAGCTGTGATGCCACGAGGCACTCTACCCAAGGTGACAGCTTGAGGCACTGTCTCAAAAAAAAGAAGAAGAAGAACTGTAGAAAGAGAAAGAAAAGCTCAAATGTGTGGAAATTTTGTATTTGTGTGTGTATCTCCAAATTACAGAAATACATCCTAAGTGCATTAGACCAGTGGTCAATGAAAGTAAATAAACAGATTCTACACAAAAATAATTCATTCTAGGCTGGGCACCCTTAGCTCAAAGGTTAGAGGGCTGGCCCTATGCAGGGGTAGCAGGTTCAAACCTGGCCAGGGCCTGCTAAACAAACAAAAAAAAAAACACCAAAAACAAACTCGCCTGAGGAAAATCGAGACCCTGTCTCTACTAAAAATAGAAAAACTGAGGCAAGATGATCACTTAAGCCCAAGAGTTGGAGGTTGCTGTGAGCTATGATGCTATAGCACTCTACTAAAGGTGACAGCTTGAGACTGTGTCTCAAAAAAAAATAATGAATTCTAGTCATCATACAGAAAAATGCTCAAATTCAACAGCAAATAAAAACACCTGGGAGGCAGAGGTGAGACCCTGTCTCAACTAAAAAAAAAAATATATATATATATATACACACACACACACACACACATATACATATACGTATATAGCTGGACATGGTGGTGCATGCCTATAGCCCAGCTACTCTGGAGGCTAAGGCAAGAGGATCTCTTGAGCCCAGGAATTTAAAGTTGCTGTAAGCTAGGCTGATTCTGCCCCACTCTAGCCTGGGGCAACTGAGTGAAACTTTGTCTCAAGAAAAAAGCACACACACACAGTAAAAACCAAAAAGCCTAGTCAGGTGCTGTGGCTCATGCCTGTAATCCCAGCACTTGGGAGGCCAAGGGGGGTGGATTGCCTGAGCTCATGGGTTGGAGACTAGCCTGAGCAAGAGCAAGACCATGCCTCTAAAAAATAGCTGGGTGTTGTGGCATGTGCCTGTAGTCCCAGCTACTTACTTGGAAGGCAGAGGCAAGAGAATCAGTTAAGCCCAAGAGTTTGAGATTGCTGTGAGCTGTAATGTTGTCATAGCACTCAACCAAGGGGAACAAAGTGAGACTCTGTCTCAAAAAATAAAAAAATAAAAAAGCCCATCTACACATATTATACACTGACAAATGAAAGTCATTAACACGAATGTTGCCAGGCTAGGAGAAAATGGTCCACGCTGAGGACATCTGGCCTCAGTCCTGCAATGAAGCCCCCTTTGTCTGTTCCTCTGAGTACCTGTGGGTACTTTCTCTGAGGGAGCTGGAGGATGGTAAGGATGTGTGGTGTGAGAAGTGGAGCCACACAGCCAATTTCATTGTTGTAGAGATGAGATCTTGCTGTGTTGCCCAAGCTGGTCTCAAACTCTTGGCCTCAAGTGATTCTCCTGTCTCAGTCTCCCAAAGTGCCATGGCATCTGGCCTATAATTAAAAATTTTAAATCCAGCTGGGCACAGTAGCTCACACCTGTAATCCTAGCACTCTGGGAGGCTGAAAGCAGATGGATTGCCTGAGCTCACAAGTTCGAGGCCAGCCCAAGCCAGAGCAAGATTTCATCTCTAAAAAAAATAGCTGGGCATTGTGGTGGGTGCCTGTAGTCCCAGCTACTTGGGAGGCTGAGGTAAGACGATCGCTTGATCCCAAGAATTTGAGGTTGTTGTGAGCTATGGTGCCATGGCACTCTATCCACAGTAACAAAGTAAGACTTTGTCTCAAACAAATAAAATTTAAAATAAATAATAAAATGTTTAAATCCAAAACAACGACAACTGCAACAAAAAATAGCCAGGCCCTGTGGCAGGCACCTGTAATCCCAGCTACTTGAGAGGCTCAGGCAAGAGAATCACTTAAGCTCAAGAGTTTGAGGTTGCTGGGAGCTGTGACACCACAGCACTCTACTGAGAGCAACATTGTGAGACATTGTCTCAAAAAAACATTTTTAATCCAGCTATAATTATATAAATTAATTTATTATTATTTCATTATTAGTATTATTTTAGAGACAGAATCTTACTTTATCACCCTTGGTAGAGTGCCATAGTCTTACAACTCACAGCAACCTCAAACTCCTGGGCTTAAGTGATTCTCCGGGCTATTTTTTTGTTCCAGTTTGGCCGGGGTCAGGTTCTGGCCCTCCACACTCGGTATATGGGGCCAGCGCCCTACCCACTAAACCACAGGCACTGCCTGTATATAAATTAGAAATATGTAAAAGAATTCATCCTTTGCAAGAACACATACTAACTAAAAGGAATATATGAAACACATCCAATGGTTGCCTAATAGTGCAGAGGTGGGAATCCAATAAACCAAGATGAAGAGACATAAATAGAACGAGAGGGAGAGCCTTGTCAGGCTGTGGTGAAAATATGACAGGCAGAATTGTAGGCTTACATGACCTCAGCCACTCTGTGAAGTGTTCCGCCACTTTCCTGACTGGGGACCTAGTTTGGAGTGTCCCCCCACTGAACTGCTAGGGGAGAACCTCGGGGAGAACCTCTGGCAGAACTTCATCCAGGTAAGGAGAGGGCTCCACAACAGAGATGGGAGAGTGAAGCTGAGGCTGTGGATTCCCAAACTGTGAGCTGGGTCACACTTTCCCTCTATAGGCCTCAGTTTCCTCTTTGGAAATTGGAGCTCAGAAGTGGAGGCAGAGAAGCTTCAGCAAAGTAAGGAACAGAGAGTGCTTCTGCCAGGGTCTGGCCTTCCATCACAAGGCCAGGGAGATCAGAGGCCAGCACTACTGAGGCCCATCTGGGCTGGACTGACACATAGACTTTCCTGCCCAGACCAGGCCCCACTATCTTCCTGGAACCTGGGGCTCCAGCTGTGGCCCAGAGAGGACAGTGGCAGGAGTGATAGCCCCCCACCCTCCTCCAACCCCACCAGGCCCTGCCTGCCCTATTGTCACTGGATCTGATAAGAAATCCCACTTCTGCAGCCCTCTCCCCTCTCCCCACCCACAACCACAGCCTGGGTGGCCCCCGATGCCTGGATATAAAGGGACCATGGGGGCTGAGCATCACTGAGGCTAGTCCTAAGCAGGCCCAGCTCCAGCCCAGCTGCCCACTCCCACCACCATGTCTCTGACCAAGACCGAGAGGACCATCATTGTGTCCATGTGGGGCAAGATCTCCACGCAGGCTGACCCCATTGGCACTGAGACCCTGGAGAGGTGAGTCCCAGACAGGACTGCCTGGGGAACAGGTCAGAGGCCAGAGTGGGTGAGTGGGGTCAGTGAGAAGGGGTCAGCAAGAAGGGGCCAGTGAGGAGGGGATGTCCAGGAAGTGTCAGTGAGAAGGGGCCAGTGAGGAGGGGATGTCCAGGAAGGGGTCAGTGAGAAGGGGCCGGTGAGGAGGGGCCAGTGAGGATGGGATGTCCAGGAAGGGGTCAGTGAGAAGGGGCCGGTGAGGAGGGGCCAGTGAGGACAGGATGTCCAGGAAGGGATCAGTAAGAAGGGGTCAGTGAGGAGGGGCCAGTGAGGAAGGGATGTCCAGGAAGGGGTCAGTGAGGACAGGATGTCCAGGAAGGAGTCAGTGAGAAGGGGTCAGTGAGGAGGGGCCAGTAAGGAGGGGATGTCCAGGAAGTGGTCAGTGAGAAGAGGTCAGTGATGGAGGGGCCAGTAAGGAGGGGATGTCCAGGATGGGTCAGTGAGGAGGGGCCACTGAGGAGGGGGCCAGTGAGGAGGAGGGGAACAACGCCAGAAGACCAGGTGCACAGGCTCTGCCACCCACAGCTCACTGAGACCTGAGTAGGGCCAGGCCAAGTTGGCACGTGGAGAGGGGAAACGTTTCCCTCCCAGGCCTAAGTTCCTTCCAAGGCAATCAGGTTGCTGCCACCACTAACATCAGAGCATCTGGTCTCGGGCAGGAGAGTCAGAGGAGGGTTTCCTGAAGAGAGAGAGTTTCCTCTCTTTAAATACTGTTGGGAGGACATGAGTCCCGCCAGAAGGCACTGCTGGCCGCCTGATCCAGGGCAGGAAGGAGGTCCTACGTGCCCAAGGAGAGGTGTGGCGGGCGGGGGGCGCCCGGAGTGCTGGAGGCGGAGCGCGGTGGACTTGGGGACTAGTTGGGAACAAAGACACAAGCTGGGGCTGAGAGGGGGCCAGGGCTGCAGGAGTTGGGCCCCGAGCCCAGCGGGAGGTCGAGGAGCCGCAGCAGGCTGGGCGCCGGGGGGCATCCCGCCAAGCTTTGGGGACTGCTGTGGCGCGGCTTTAACGGAACCTACAACTCGCAACCCGCCCGCCGCAGGCTCTTCCTCAGCTACCCGCAGACTAAGACCTACTTCCCGCACTTCGACCTGCACGCGGGGTCGGCGCAGCTGCGTGCGCACGGCTCAAAGGTGGTGGCCGCCTTGGGCGACGCTGTCAAGAACATCGACAACATCACCGGCGCCCTGGCCAAGCTGAGCGAGCTGCATGCCTACATCCTGCGGGTGGACCCGGTCAACTTCAAGGTGGGCCAGGGCGGGGGCGGGGCGGGGAGGAAGAGGTGGCCGGGTCCCGGAGGGGCGGGGCTGCAGCCGCCAGAACGTGTCGAGCTCCGCGGGTTGAACCGCCCTCTGCGCCCCCAGCTGCTGTCCCACTGCTTGCTGGTCACTGTGGCCGCGCGCTTCCCTGCCGACTTCACGGCCGAGGCCCACGCCGCCTGGGACAAGTTTATGTCTGTTGTGTCCTCTGTCCTGACCGAGAAGTACCGCTGAGCGCCGCCTCCCGGATCCTCAGACCCGGCTGAGACCCCTCCTCTGCTCCTCATCGTCCCACTGTTCCTTCCTGACTCCGTAATAAATGAAGACGAATCAATCTGGGTCCGGCCCTCTCAATGTTGGAAAGAAGGAGGGGAGAAGCTGAGGGGTGGGCTGGGAGATTTGAGGGGACGCAGTCGACCTCAGTGTCATTCATCCCCGGCCTGGAGGACGCTTGGAGGGTGCTTTGGACCCGGAGTTGCAGCCCTGAGGGAACAGCACAGTCCTGACGGGCCAAAGAAGGGCGTTTGCGCCTCTCTCCTGCTTCCCAACTCGCTCAGATTGTCACTCTATCAGCATATTGGGGGCGGGTCGGAAATCAAGGGACTTTTTCTCAAAGTCTGAGGTCCTAACTCTAGCGACACAGATAGCCGCGAAAGTCCCTGAGGCGGTTTCCCACCCCTATGCTTCCTACCAGGTGTTATCTCTAGATCCCTCCACGAGCTCTCTCCAGGGAGAGTAGTGACTTTATCGCAGGGGAGCAATTACAGACCCCCCTCAAGTGTCCTGCAAAGGCGCCCACGCCACAACGGCGCAGGTCGGTGCCAGAAACCCAGGGATCCCGAAGTCGTGGCCTCCAGCTTTCTCCGCGCAGGCTGAGGGTCCCCGCGTTCCCGCCGAGGTCGGCCGATAAAGGACGGGCGGGGCGCCTGGGAAGGGCTCTATAAGGAGGCCGGGGTGGCGGGCGCAGCCCCCAGAGCGCTTCAGTCTGGCGGCATGCTCAGCGCCCAGGAACGAGCCCATATCTGGGCAGTCTGGGACCTGATCGCCGGCCATGAGGCACAGTTTGGGGCGGAGCTGTGGCTCAGGTGCGTAGGGGCGGGGTCTTTGGGATGTCCGGGAGGCTAGACCCGAGTGTTGGGCAGGTCTGGGGCTAGCCAGATGGAGTTCCTGGGGCTGCGGCTGACGCCGGCGCTAGTGAAACCCCATGTAGCCGCCCTCGCGGCTCACCGACCTGCTCCTGAAGGCTCTTCACAGTGTACCCCAGCACTAAGGCCTACTTCCCCAAGCTGGGCGCCTGCCTGGACGAGACGCAGCTGCTGAGCCACGGACAGCGCACACTGGCGGCGGTGGGCGTGGCTGTGCAGTATATGGACAACCTGCGCGACGCTCTGAGCCCGCTGGCCGACTTGCACGCTCACATGCTGCGTGTGGACCCGACCAACTTTCAGGTGGGCCCTTTGGGCGGGGTAAGGGTCCAGAGCGCAGTAGCTGGGGGTTTCCAGGAGTTGGCTTGGGCAGACGCCTTCTCACTGACTCCTCCCGCAGCTGCTGATCCAGTGTTTCCAGGTCGTGCTGGCTTCCCACTTGCAGGACGAGTTCACAGTGGAGATGCATGCTGCATGGGACAAGTTCCTGACAGGCGTGGCCGTGGTGCTGACTGAAAAGTATCGCTGAGCCCTGTACCCAGCAGCCCTTGGTCTGTGCCTATCAATAAACAAAGGCCTCAAACACCTGGATCCTGAGTATGTGTGGTCTCTAGGGAGAGGGCAACTGACCTCACTATTATTGGGTAGAGAGGCTGTGTCCCCCAGGGGCCCACCCAAAGGTGTACTCTGCTGTGGCAGAGGAAGTGCTCAGATTGAGAAAGGAGAGTAAATCTGCCACTTCTCAAAGGGTTTGCAAAGCACTTCTGCATTCATTCATTGTTGTTCCATCCCCACCTTCTGCTGGGACCTGCAGGTGTAGAGAGGGGGGCCCTGAGGCCCTCAGACCCAGTGTGTGACCTAAGACCAATGCAAGTTGGGGCCTAAGTCTTCTATCTTCACCCTGTTCCTTTCTGCTTCCTCTTCCTGGAACATCCTTATTCTGTAGCAAGACTTCCTAAGAACTTCATGCCTTGTTGGGGGAGAAAACAGGAAGGCAGTCCTTGGTAGCCACAGTTTGGCAGACAGAGCAGGTCTCCAGCCAGTTCACGCTGATAAGCTATATGATCCTGGGCATGTCCCTCAGCTCTCAGAGCCTCACCTATCAGATGAAAAAAAACAGACTCACAAGATCTTAGAAGTAGTTTTGAGATCATAGCCACCCCATCCACCAGCCCAGCCAGCCCAGCCCCAAGTGCTGCATCTCAGTTTCTGCAGGTACCCTAGCCAAGGCCCACCCTATCCCAGGCCCACTCTCCCTACTCCCCAGGACAGAGGCAAGAATATTAGGGCTCCACTCAGCTTGCTGACAAAGAACAGAGCTGAGGAGCAATCACCATCCTGGTGCTCTCCAAACTCTGAATGAGGACAGTTCTTGGCTTGACAATTGTGGGTCAGTGCACTGGCCCACCATGCAGTAGCACCCACGTTCAAAGAGGGATGCCAAGGAAGCTAAGCCCTGATGGCAGTTTGGCCCAACTCCCAAACTGTTACCAGGGACCTATTACTCTGTGCTGCCACAGAGTGGGGGTGGGGAGCTCAGAGAGATTGACCCCATGTGATCTCCTTCAAGTTTACATGAATAATTAATAATTTTCAGTACTATGCAAAGTTTGGTATAAAGTGGCTTGTATTTCACTTTGGAAAAGATTATGCTCCCCTCCCCAGCCTAACAAATAGGAACCTCAAAGCTACCCTGGGTTTGGGTCACTTGTAAAGGCATATAGAAAAGCCTGGGAACCACAAGGGGGCAGAGAGACTGCTGCATAGGGAACAGGGTCTCTGCCTCATCCAGACTAGAGACCCAGAGCGCCCTTGAGAACCCGCCCAATCCTACTCCCTCCCCTTCTGAATTTCCTGGGCTGGGCACCTCTAGCACCTTGCCAGCCAATGAGCACAGCCCAGCAGGAGTATGAGCCCACACCTTGGGCATAAAGGCGGGACGGCTCTGCTACCCAAGCGCTTCTGATCCTGACCCTCAGAAGGAACTCACCATGGTGCTGTCTCCCACGGACAAGAGCAACGTCAAGGCTGCCTGGGAAAAGGTTGGCGGCCATGCTGGCGACTACGGCGCGGAGGCCCTGGAGAGGTGAGGACCCTCCTCTCCCTGCTCCAGTCCCGAGGCTCAATGGCTGCCCAGGGCCCCACCAGCAACCCTTAGCCGGCTTTGCTGTGAATCTAACCCCACCCCTCACTCTTTGCTTCTCCTGGCAGGATGTTCCTGTCCTTCCCCACCACCAAGACCTACTTCCCCCACTTCGACCTGAGCCACGGCTCCGCCCAGGTCAAGGCCCATGGCAAGAAGGTGGCAGATGCGCTGACCAACGCCGTGTCCCATGTGGA